ACTATCGAGCCAGCGTAGGCAGGTGTTGATGAATGTCTGTAGTTTGTTGGAAATGCTTTTCGTAACACGCCAACTCTCTGAACCATATAGAAGCACTGACTTGACTAACATTAGTGTTGAAAATCCGGATGTTGTTCACGCTTTATGCTGAGTGCAGTGCAGTGTAGTGTAATGGAGTAGATCTCCACACTGATTTCAAATTAAAGGAGGCCTGTCTTACTTTTCCAGCTTTTCTGGCTTTGACGTCCTCGTCTGTGCCGTCTGTAAATGAAACGGTGCTGCCTAGGAAGGTAGGTGAAAGAGACTACTTCCTTTAAGTTTCTCCCGTTGATGGTGATTGGAGCTTCTTGTTGTTGTTGTTGTTGGTAGTGGTGGTCGCGTTGGTTGGGTATCATCATCACCTCTGTCTTCTCTACATCCACCTGAAGGAAGTCCCGTCTTCGCTACCCTGCCTTGCCTTGCCTTGCCTCTTCTGTCAACTTGTTAGTTTTCGCCTGTAGATCTTCGAGTTAGTGCGACAGGACATTAGATATAAATCATCATCGGCGGCGAAATCCAAATCTTCTCCTGGGGTATTCTCATCAGTCCAGCCAGCGTATCCCCATCCTCTTGCTCCTCACACTTTGTTGCATGTTTCAGTCCACCACAATCAGGAATATCATGCGTGATAGTAGACAGCTTTGTCTTGTCTTACTCCTGTCTTCACTCCGAAAGCATCACTGAGCTTATCATTATGAATTACTTGGCATGTGGCGTCTTCATATAGTTATTGAATGAGGTTGATAAAGATTAGTGGCACTACGTAGTGCTGAAGCAGTTTCCAAATTACTTCTCGGTTGACACTGTCGAAGGCCTTTTCAAAGTCGATGAAGTTGAGGTAGAGAGTTGACTGTCATTCTATATTCTGTAATATGATGATGCGTGTTGTTGCACTTTGGTCCTCACATGATTTGTTCTTCCTGAACTCAGCCAGCCAGCCTGTTCCGGTCGTTGTTTTGAAAGCAGCGCATCCTTTAGCTTCTCCAGGATGATGCGGCTTAATATTTTGCCTGGGTGGATGGGGACAGGAGCATGAATCCCCACCTGTTCTTGCAAAGACTTAGGGCTCTCTTCTCTGGGAGTTTGACAAGGTAGCCCTTCTTCCAATCTGCAGGCATCTTTCCCTTCTTCCTTGTGAACTTTCTGAAGTAGTGGTGTGGTGTGAGCATGTCCACTGTTGTCTCTGTGTCTGTTTTTAGTGCTTCTGGCGGGATTCCATCTGGTCCTGCTGCTTTCCGCATTTCAGCAGTTTTATGGCATTCAGGACTCCACTTCTGCTTTTTCGGAGAGCCTGTGTTCACTGGTAGTTCTGCCGTTTCTGTTGGTACTTCCGGGCGAGTTGCAGGTGGTGGTCGATTCAAGAGCTTTTCGAAGTGGTCAGCCTGTTTCTTTTGTTTCTCCTCTTTGTTAACTAGCTTTCCTTCACCATCTTTCATTGGTTTCATGTGTATTGATCTCTTCCCTACCAGATAGTAACCTGGTTACTTGATATAATGTTGTCAGGTCTCAGTCTCTCCTACCTGCAGCCTGTCGTGCTTCACTTGCCAATGTGCTGTCCAAGTATCTTTTGTCTTTGCGCGCACTCTTCTTCACTTCTTTGTCCAGTCTTTTATACGTTGTACTCAGTTCCTCTTTTCGTTGTTCATACCTGCACTGCACTACACTGCACTGGTTTATCTTTTGATTCACCATCCTTCTCTCCCTGCTGTATCAGCTTCCATGTGTTTGTCGAGATCCATTCCTTGTCTTGTTTCCACAAACCCCAAAATTTTATTCATCTAGTGTTCATCGGTGACTAGCTTCAAGAAGTGATTCCTGAAGTTACGATGATAAAACGTGACCAGTGGGGCAAACCACGTAGACGTGAGGACAAACACTAAACGATGACATTGAGTGATGGTCAAGCTATATCGTGAAGTGACAGAAATAAGAGATATAGACCATCAGACTCCAAAGCAGTACCCCTAAGGTAAGAAGTAGGACGTGGAACCTGAAGGTCCTGGGTTCAATCCATAGCAAGGTCACAGGTTTGCACTGCTGAGAAGTCCCATAATGGGACGAAACAGCTACAACTGATATCAGTCCATAATGAAAACAAATTTGAAATCAATAGATCTTTACAAACTCCTAAAGTGAAAAATAATTCAGTTTATTCTGAATATTTCATCTTATCTTGGACTTTGATTTAGAATACCATTTTTAAAAGTTACCCTACAATACACATTCATCGTAAGTATTGAAGCTTTTCACAGAAGTAATTCCGATTACTGACATCGTTTCAAACTATATTAAAATATTAAAGTGTAGGAAGTTGATATTCCCATAGTAAACATTTTCCACGTCTTACTTCATAGTTTTCTACACCAGCTGAAATATTAACTGCCGATGCATTTCCGGTAACACGAAGTATTCAACCGACTAAACAACCTAATTCCCGAGAGTGAACCAGCTCTACACACAGTGGTGTGTTCGCTGAGTTGGATGCCTAGGTCAAGAAGCTTTCATTCTAGACAACGTCATCAGCCCTAAATTCCGAAGAACTGGGAATTACGCCGTTGAAGCCCAACAGTTTCGACAGGGGACTCACAAATCATTTTTGAGGGAACGTTAATAGATTGTCTGGCAGGAGTATTCTTTTTCGTGTGGTCACGCTGTTACGGTGTTTTTTGCTTGGCGAGGGGACCGATTCCCCAGGTAGAGATAATAACATCCAAGCAGACGAGGTATAGGCTGCAACTGGGAGCTGAGCCGAAAATTATAGTAAAACTCTTTTCATTGAAAAGTTTGATAGATAAGTATTAAGCTTAATGCATTTAACAAATACAAGTAAGTCGATAGCATTGAAAATGAGAGTTTGACATAACTATGGACAGCTAATTGTATCCGAAACATTAGCAAGTAAATAACTCTGTCCCACTGTGTGATATACATGACAAACATGAATAAAACTTGCTTGGCAGCTGTCGTATCAGTTATTTACAAAACGGCGGTAACGAAGGGTAATACGTTGTGCATAAACTTATAGCCTCAAAATTATAACCGTATAATTACGGTAGTTCACTCATGACGAATAAACCGTTTGTACAGCTGACTTATTTCGTTACCTGCCTCACTCAGACAGCTATTCTTCTACATATTTGTACACCGTGAAGTTGTTGATCTCATCTTTTCAGTGAAACGTAGACCATGTAGAACACAAGTCATTGGCCAAGGTCGACTTGACAAATCAATATAAAGCAACAATAGGATACTTAGCAGTGTTTCCTTCAGAGTTATTTTCTTTCATACACTTAAAATTTAAGCTGGAACTGTTTGACACAACTTTGAACTCATCATTCATGTGTGTTGCATTACCACAGAGGATATTAAGCATTATGAAGACAGATAACTATACATAAACATAGTTACGTACCTACTTCATTCCACAGGAAAACATGACTTCTCTCGCGAGACAATATTATTTCGAAAAACTCACCCCCTCCCGTAAAAAAATCCAAAACAAAACCACATCAAAACATTAGACTACGGTAGTAAGTATTGATAATAATAATCATGATGACTGAACCATACACTTTGAAAGATCACGATACCATGATAGTAGTAATAGTAATAACAATAATAATAAATAAATGGGTGATGACAAGTCACTTTTTCGAAGAAAAAACAAAAACAACCAAGCCAATAAAACCAGTAGTCAAGTGCAAATAAGTAGGATAGTGAGTAAATAAGCATATGGATAGATAATCAACAATTACTACAGTTAAAATTGAACTATTACATAATTGTGTTTAGCGATGGTGACTAGGTGTCACACAATTACACACATGCCCACAGATATGAAACATTAGATTTGTCCGACATTGTTGCTATCACCAGTGGTAGTAGTAGTAGTAATAGTAGTAGTAGTAGCGGTGGTGGTGTCGGTAAACAATAAGATAAAGGAGTATGCAAAAAGTGACCAGACGAACACTAGTCCATATAGTGAGAACTGTACTCACCTCCCCTTGTATACATACTATGTAGCTGTTGAAGAAGACCGAATTCTTGAAATAGTGAAATGATTACAGCCAATGAAGGATGAAAACGCTGCTGTACTCTGTACACACACATACACACACAGACCCACTACTACATAAATACTGACAGACAGTGACAATAAGTGCTAAATATGTGGCGGGAAATGTGTGAGTGAAGTTGAGGCGGAAAAAGAGAAAAGTGTGAACAGAAATTATGAAACCAAAAGGATAATGTCAGAGTGTGACAATGTTAATAGAAAGTGGCAATGTCAACAACAGAGCAGCATTGTAGCTCAATGAAAACAACAAACACATTCTTCTATCATGTCACACACAAAAATGCAAAATTGTTGTTGATTTTAGGAAGACACATTTAGGCGTTTCAAAAGTAAGTGAACAAAAAGAAGTGGAAACAAATATTCTAAGGTGTACACACACACACACATATACATACTACGATTAAAACAATACAGGTAGTAATAGAAATAATAATGACCTAAACGAGATGTATATCAATACTAGTCCTTTGATAAAATTTAAAAAAAAAAAACACTCAGCCATAAAAAAAGTGAGATCCAATTAACAAGTGCACACAAAACAGATGCATGCACATCGACGAGACTAATTCCAGAAGCATCAAGACGCAATAAAAATGATGACGCTGGATAAAATAGCATTATAATAGTAATTGATAATAGTAGCAAGATGCATTCAAAAAAAATTCACTGGGGCCACATTATGAATGCACAAAACTGTCTTTTAATTCCTTTCAAAGATAAATAAATAAATAAATATAATGTATGAATGTACAGAAAAAAGCTAGCAAGTTGCACAGAAAGCACAAGAAAGCAAAACAAACCAAAAAGGTTTCAACCCATTGTAAGTCTTTGTTCTTTTATTTCGCTTCTTCGTCTTCACCTTTTCCACTTTCTCCTCTTTCCTAGCTTATCGTTTGCATATATGTGATATTGGTAGACGGAAATTAGTACCAGATGCACCAACACGTGGTGATGAGCCTATATTGTTTGTAGCCATAGCACACCAATCACCGGAAAGTAAGCCATTCGCAGCAGCTAGTGTACCTGGATGAGAGAAATTGACAGCGGTTTGATTTTGTGCTGCTCCACGAGCAGATAGATTGCAGCCAGCTGATGTTCTGTACAATGATTCATTTAGTTTTAAATTACCTTCATTAATCAAGAAAAATAAATCATAATTATGATGAATGTTTATTGGAGAAAAAGAGCTCACTGGGTGATAATACATCTAAAGAACCAACTGAACTGGAAAAATTTAGAATATGAGTATAGACATCATAAACGCTTATAAGAAGTCCATTGTAATTAAATCAAAGCGGTAGTAATTAAATAATTGTACTAAATTCGACCTCACGAAATAATTGATATAAAGAAATGCGGTGAATGGAATTTCTCACAACACATAAATACAATACTACAGAAATTTTTCAAACGATCATGAAGTAATCATAATATTATTCTTTTCATAGTTGAATTTAAAATAGATGAAACAATATTGTAGATGACTTTTCTCTAATCCCCGGTAAAATTCGAAAAAAATTTCCAGAACCAGTCAGTTTTATGATTAGACGAAGAGATTAAAAGCAGATATACATACAGAGAGAAAGTAGTCTCTATGCAATAACATCCACTAGTAAATATCATTTCGATAAAAAAAACCCTAAAAGAAAATGAAGCCTCTGAAACTGGGATAAGTCTGTATGAATAAATCTTATGAGAATCAGAATAGATTTCATTTAAAAACTCTATAATAATTCAATATGTGATTTTATGCATGATTTCAAGTATTAATGTCTATGAGTTAGTTGATAAAAAGTAAACTAGGCCACCAGTTCAAACTCTGCTCCACCTATGGAGGTATGGGCAGTCAGGTAGTATCACTAGCCTTCCCACAATAAGTGTGACTCATTGCCTACTGCACAGGTGTGTACAAGGTGGCTAACTTTAAAATGATATTTACGCAAATCATTTTCAAGTGGCTTACTCTACAAAACTCATACCAGATACTAAGGAACTTATTTACAACGAATTCATTTGAAGTAAAACAGTTTTAGTTATAAACTTTTGAGAAAAAATTAATCTTTATGCACAAATATTCGCATATAATTGTTTTATTAGTACAACGAAGAATATATTTTACTTCATATAAACCTATTCGTCATCTATACAACCTAAACTGGATGATGATTGAAGGTGAAATGAAAATTTGGACCGTGGCTGCATTCAAGCCACCTACTACCGGGTTACCGGCCAGATGGTCTAATAACTGAGCTACGAGACCCAACTGTTGACCACGCTTTTATTTCAATTGAGTCACCAAGGGTTTTGTCCGGTGGTCGTTGGTTCGAATCCCGACGTGATCCAAATTTTCATTTCACCTTCAATCATCAACCAGTATAAATACTAGTCTGCAGACTAGTCAGATATTTAAAATGACAATCCATAGAATCGTTTATTAATTATGTACAATAATTTCTTCGAACACATATAAATACTTCATAAGAAAAGGCAATATTGGTTAACTTAAATGCACAATTATTTAGTGCTCGAAAACATTAATATCAAAACAAAATACGTTTTACGTTAGGATTAACAAGCCTCACCAGGCTTGCTGGAGTTTGGATACCAACACGTTTCCACAGAACTTACAAAATGGAAAATTAGCATCTCAAAGAAACACATATTGTTACTAATTTTTTCATGCACTCAAATATAACCCTAGTGTCTTAGTATTCATATTAATTTCTTTGCCTTATCAGACTACTGTCCCGACCGATAGCCGCTACCTTGGCGTAATAGTCACGGTTATATATCATACAATGACCCGACGAGTTAGGCGGACTCCCACGATTGTTCCTTGAGGTCATAGTGCGCCAAATACGTCTCCTATAGAATGCTAAGACAAAAAGCAGTTGCTGTCGTAATGTAAATAACCATACTATGACAGAGGTTTGAGGGTGAAATGGCAATGCAGGAGTGTGATAACAGTTGACCAGTAGTCCATGTGGATGTCCTCTCTGTGGGAAGGTGGTTACGAGAGGTTGGCACCAAAACAGCAAGTTTCACATGAACCACAATCTCCTGGTGCCCGTAATATTGAATCCCAATCAAAAACACTAAAAAAGATCAATGTATGGCTGGATTATAGAAGCATAAACCCTAAAATCACACAAAACCCTTTTCCAGACATCTTGCAGAAACAGCTTCCACGACCAGAGCAGTCAGGAAGTAACAACCACCTGTATGCATCAGCATCATGAAAACCCCAATAACTATAATCTACCTTCTTTACCCATCTCCTTCCTTGCCTTCGTTTTCTTACGCCACTATTAGGCTTCATTATAACTCTCGCAACCTCTTGCAGTGCGAACTTCGATAGCAATCCGAACTGGCTAATCACCAACCCCAATAACCGAAAACCCCTCTATCAATTTGACACTGTAGCTTTCAACGTGCCAACCATATGCAAAATTGGAGAAAAAGGCCTATCCTGTCAAAACGCTAATTTCAAGAGTTATACAGATGCATGCTGTGTTTCAGCGACACGTATACCAGACACAGGTGTAGCTATTCCCTTGACCTCAAACTAGCTAATGTGACGAATCCACAAGATTCACTTTGGAGATTCAATGCCTGGCTCTCGCGAGCTTACCTAAGCAGTTACAGTTTTGAGTTGTGGATTAGAGAGAGCGTAATTCTAGAAATGATAAGAGTTGACTGTCGACTACACACTGTACGACGGGACGGATCTGTAAGGACTGGAAAACCCTATGACACACGCTGATGCCTACTCACGGTCTTCGCCTGCAACTATGATCTCTTCCTAAAGCTGAGAACTCTGATACATAAGCAAAACTTTCAGATATAAGCAATAGCAGGAAGCGACTTCAATGCTTCAGTTGGAAAGTTGAGTTAATCAGAAGGGAAAATTACAGGTGTCCGATGCCAACCAATGGACAACGGTGATCGTCTCAAACAACCTTGTTTTGATAACAGCTTGTATTTAGAGAGTATTACCTTCAAGAATAGACAAGGATACTGTACAAATGGCACCCATTGACATTAAACCAACCATGGACAGAATGAGATCATATTGCTATGAGCCATTGTTGGAAAGAATCAATGGAGGGCTGTCACTCTTTCTTGAGTATCTGCTGGGACTTCGATCACCCACTGGGATAGGCACATTTGTGATTACATCATAATGGGCACACAATCGAGCCTGTGTTTGACTGGATGAATGGAAATTTGAACGAGTATATAGGTGAGAGATAGCTAATGATTTACCCAAAAATGAAAGTAATGTTTCCCTGTTAAAAATTTGCTTGGCAGTTGCCTCAAATATCGAGGCATCCACATTTGAGTAGTATTCGGCTGCATTGGAAGCATGCTATGCTTTGTAAGCTATCTACGGTTAAGGGTTTGACGAAAGTTGTTATCCGAATCGACGACAACCAGTGGTGTACACCAAGAATACACTTTTTCACCGCTGCTGTTTAACTTCGCTTAAAATCTATTGGCTTCTCAAGGGTTCACTTACTCTCTAAAGAGCAAGTGACTGATTTGGAGAACACAAAAGGTGTATTCTTCTTTGATGAAGACACTAGTTAAATCCAGAATCGTCAGGACGCTTTCATCAGAGATCTCAGTACGGGTTCTGCACTTGTCAAATGTGAGATGATGCTTCAAGACTGGTTTTAACTGACTCTTAGTTTAAAAATAGGAAGTGAAGTCGTTGAGTGCGTTGACCACTTCACTAAATTTGGAAGTTACATTAGCTAAAAACAGTTGGTCGCTTACGAAACCTCAGCTCGGATACAAATGCTCGTTCGGTATTCAGCAACTTACACTATCTTTAGCATTGGTTATATATTCGACTACCTGTCATAGGACGAGAACACTGCACTGCAGTTCACTCCGTCTTGTCACACAGCTCTGTGATATGACCGTTGAAAGTGGAAGATATGAAGAACTGACAGGCTTTTGAGCCCAGGTGTCTTCGTACGATTGCTTGCGTATGATAAAATCACCGTTTGAGCAGTGGTATGGGTATGTGGAGAGTAAAAGGGAAAAAAAGACAAGTCAATCGATGACCTTATGGACCGACATGGACTACGGTAGCTTAGACATACATTACGCCCGTCGAGGCTCCACCCTCCTTGATGTGCAATGTCAGAGGAAGTAGGATTAGGTTGTGAGAAGCTTCAGAGTAGTGAGACCGATAGCTGTTACCTTGACGTGGTGGTCCGACTTGTATATCATAATGACTTAACGAGCTACGCTGATCGAACGCTTGTTCCATCGAGGTCCTACATACCAGAAAGGTAGATATGTTGGATAGTGATTAGATAAAAGTAGTTAACCTTAACATGTTCTTAAACAATGAATGATGTATTATGATGGCTTAGATCAGTTATCAGTGGTGATCCAATACTCCAAAACGCATGTACGACTACACATTCCACAATACAGGTCAATTTTCGTGGCATCGAAAAAGGCCGTGAATGACCGACCTCCAGCCGATGTCTCTTGGACTCCACGGTCACAAATTTTTCCCCTTCCGGGTATCTCAAAAAGACCTAGCCTTCCACGGTGTATGGAGTATGGAAATGCAAACCGACCTCTCAACTCAATCAGGACCCAGGTTCCCTCAAACCGCCATCTACCTCTCCTATCCAGACCTTCCTAACTTCCTTCACGTTTCTCAGTTAACAATACTATATCATCTTTAATTTTTTTTAGCTCTGCAGCTTTCAACAACGATCTGAGTCGATGGAACACCATCCTTGGCCTCCTTAAACCATCCCCCAAATTACACATTGGAGCGTTCAATGTCAGCACCCTTCCTCAAATCGGCCAAAACTCCAGCAACTCGGACAGTGGATGTGTGCTGTGTTTGTGAGGTACCTATACGGGAACCAAGTGCGGTTATTCACCTTTCCAGCTTTTGGAGTTTCGATAGCTAGTTCTCGCGGTCGTGCAGGTTTAGACATAGTATTAAGCACTAGAGCACAAAGTGCACTACTAGACTGAATCCCAATGATAGTCGACTGTGCTGTCCGGCTGAAAGGCACAGTGAGAATTCAAATGAACAGTGAAACTAGTGGTTGTCTCTTTGTTAGCTTTCTTTATGCACCCACTGACTCCAGTTCGGATAAAAGTGATGTACGAGTTCCACCGAAAACTCTCCAGCCACCTTCAGAAAGCCAAACGTTCAGACGTGATTCT